TTTTTTTTTTTTATAGGCAGAGTTAAGGATTTTGTGTTAGAACCTTATTAGTAAAGCAGATTTAAGTGCTTTCTCTTGAGTATTGGTGGATTATGTTCTCATTTTTGTTAACATAAATCAATATAAAAGTAGAATTTTAATTAAAAGTATATTTAGTCTCTAAATCTTGCTTTCTATTACGGTTCTTCTAATATTTTATTAATAACCATTGAAAACGTATACTACCCTAAGACTTAAGTTTTTGTGCCATTATGAAAACGTCACATCAGACAAATGTTCCATGTCATTCTACTGAAGACCTCTGGTGACTTAATTTGTCATTAAGATAACATGCTTGAAAATTCCTGTTTTCTTGTGGAGTTTGAAAGAGTTGAATAATATGATTCTCTAAAAGTGAGTTTTTCTTGGAATTCTTTTAAGATGAAAAAATTCTTATATTCTTTTACGATTTCCTCACATATTTAGGTAACCTGTTTCTAAGAACTTCATTTAAAGCACTAAAGATGTTGCTAGAAGTAATGGGTTTCGCAAATTGGTTTATTAAGATCTATTGATAGCTTGATGTATGACAAAAATTGGCTTTGTGATTTCTGATGGTCCAGTTAATGATAGATCTATTAAGTTCCACATTTTATATTTTGCTTTTTAAAAGTAGCCATTAAAATATGAGTCTTTCATTTTTAAAGATTTATAGATACTCAGTATAGTAGTCTAACAGAATTAGACATATTTACTCAGTCCCTGGAATAAAATGTTGTATTTTGCAGTGTCTTCACCATTTTTTTCTATTACACTAAACCAGGCATCCTCAAACTATGGCCCCCGGACCACATGCAGCCCACCTAGGACATTTATCTGGCCTGCCAATGGTCTGAGGGACAGTGAACCAAAAAGTTTGAGGACCCCTGCACTAAACCTTTCTCCACAGAACAGTTAAAAACCAACATGACACAGTATGTTATAAGTGCTTACTCCCTGGGAAATACTATTAAAATAAAAAGTAACCCCTGCCTTTACCTGAGACTATAAAATTGAAGGCAGTATTTTCAGTTGTTAAGGTCACAAGTAAGAAAAAAATCTATATAACTTTTACACTCAAAGAGGAACTATTACTTTGGGCCACAGTTTTCCTATTTATAATAGGAAAAACTTTTATAGTGGATAAAACTAAGCCTACAAGACAGTAAGTTTATATGCAGATAGAAAATGATGCTCCTGAGAAACAGTAAGATGAAGAGGCAAGGTGTTTTGATCCGAAATTTTGAATAATGCATAGTCCATTTAGTGTAGTGACAAACAGTCCTATACACTTTGATAGCCAATAGTCCCTGAGAGCTTTTTTTATACATAATGCAGTACCATAATTGATGTTCATAAATACCTTGAATGATTATTAAAAATAAACATTAATACTCTGCTCCCTCCAAAGCAGTAAGTTAATACTTTCCAACAAAAGGCAGCTTTGTTTCTTAATAGATAAAGGACATATAACTAGGAAGTAAAAATAAAAAGTCTCATGGAACTGAGATAGTATTAACTTTTTGATACATAATTGAATATTAAGTGCCTAAAGAATTTATTTTTATAGAATGGAAATTTTCTAAAAGGAAATGGCATTAAGAGCAGAATCGGTTTTGAGTATAAAAACTGAAGGATAGCAGTCTTAACTAGTAAGGTCTTTTACAAAGCAGGGGGTTGGGAAAATACCTGTTTTTTTTGTTTGTTTGTTTGTTTTGTGCTACCCATAAATGTGGCCATGTTCATTTATTATCTTTGCCTGTTGTCCTGCTGCAGTGGCTGAGTAGAGTAGTATGAAAGAGCCCACAAAACTTAAAACCTTTACAGGCCCTTTACAGTTTGTCAGTCCCTATTACAGAGGATGGTTTTGCTCATACATGGCATGGAGTCAGTTTGGTTATTTGCTTCTTGCTGGCAGATTGACGTCTTGATTACTTCATTTGTTGTCCCGGTTAGATTTTATTTTATGAAACAGGTTCCACTGATTTTATTTATATCTTTTACTATTGCTCAAATAATTACATGCTAAGAGATATTAGTACTTTCTCAGTACACTTCTTTCTCCTAAACTCTCTAACTGTAATTATGTTATTTGCCCTGATATTAAAGAACTTGATGGTCTGAGAGAAAGGCATTTGGCAGCAATAGGTAAAATCACACCTGTGAAATAAGTTGGGGTATAGGAGTTTGTCATCTGGAGTTGGTGAGTTTCCTATCAGTTGCTTTTGGCCTATCTCCACACTACCTCCT